AGGAAAATTCTCCATCTTAATTTTTTTTTTTAGTTTTCTAAAAGCATACAGATGCTGCACATTTAGTCTGCAGTACAGAAACACCAACCTGGAAGCACTGCAGATACTATTTAATCTTCACAAACAAACCTCTGATCAGTTAACRGTTTAAATGCCCAACCCTCCGTAGCTCCATCAAATGTCCTATTTGTCATCTATTGTCCCAGAGTTACCTGGAGCTGCCTGATTTCACTGAACTCACCAGCCAAGAAACAACCAGAAGGTGGCAAACTGCTGCTCTGATCTCTGCTCAGCACTGCAGGACCAAGAACCGCTTTGGTTCTCCACAGGCGTCTTCAAAGTGMACGCTGACCGAATTTTGGATCACTTAGACCTCCTCTGGGTCTCACAGCTTCATGACAGAATGTTGCATTGACCCAACAGCTGCTCATGGTGGGAAAAGGCCTGGTTTCCCTATGATTGAATAGAAAGAAAATGCTAATTTGTGAGAGCTGCAAAAACGCTTTATGTTTTATTGAAGGGATTATTTTTTTAAATGTCATTTTAGACTGAAATTCATGCTTTATTTTTCAGATCAGAMGACGTCGGCCCACACCTGCTACTTTAGTGGCATCCAGTGATCAGTCATCACCAGGTAAAAYATTCAAATGTAAACACACACACTCTGTTTCTGAAATATTGATTTCTTATCTGGTGCTTACAGGATGAATAAATTAGTACTAATTTTACGTAAATACAACAATAAATCAGCATATGAACTTAATAAAATGTTATATTTATCAAATCAAAAATTAAATTATCATAAACAAAGTATTTTTTGCTGTATGAGAAAAATCTGAGCCACTTTCATTTTCCTCCTTTTGTCCATTTCTCAAACTTTTGTTGATTCTTGTTCATGTTTTTTTTTCTTTTTTTTAGTTTTTCAGGCATGTTTGTGTCCAGTTGCTTGCAACTTTGGCCATGACTTAGCCATTGTTGACAGTCAGTATGAGGTGTTTGTGTTGACTTGTTTGTTTTCCGACAAACATGGTTTGTATCAAAGAAAAACAGATTTTGGATTCAAAGGACGCTGCAGGTCCTGAATTTTTGTGGTTTCCCCAGAAGCAATTTCAAAAAACCTGAGCTCTACTGCTGTGTTCTTTTGAGGGAAAAAAAGCCTGTATTTTTCTCAATTTTTCTAAAATAAATGCTTAAACCGATGCTGATAGAGTTAAAATAAAGCTCTTTTTATAATAGTCTGAATGTGGAGTGACATTGGTTCAAGAAGGTATTTTCATTTGGGGTTACTTRTATATATTTAACTGTTCAATCAATAAAAACTGTTTGAAAAGACATAAAACCCATCCAATCAACAGGCAACAACATCAGCTTCTTAAGATAAGACATGGCACCAATAAAGTGCCAAATTAGCTGGAAGTTAAATACCCTTTTACAGAAAAGGAGTTATTGCTTCTGAGTTTTAAGTTGTGTTAAACACAAAATCACGTGGTTTCATTAATCATATTTAAACGGTTTGTGACTTTAATGCAGCTGCTTTCATGAYCACTAAATCTGGAGCTAAATCAGGTCTTTGTTGCACAAACATCCCATACAAACACCATGTTACACCTAAACCAGTATGGTTTACATGCTAAAGTACATTCCTCTGTTTAATTCCGACTGTTGTGATACTTAGAAGCACAGTTACACATCAAATGAATCCTCCGACTAGATTAGATGCACAAAAAACAAGTGTGTGTCCTCTGGGATCTTAATGATCAAACACAGCAGATCCATGAGGAGTTCTCCTGCTGGATGAGTCATCCACCGGCTCCCTGCTGAAGGCTCTGCTGAGCCTGGGTGTGCGTTTCTGTGTGAAGTTACCCACTGCAGTGTTAAAAAATAATCAGCAGGTAATTTGGGGCAAAGCCAGGCATTTTCTGCTTGTGTGGTAAAAGAGCTGATTATTGAGAACTTATAAAAGAGAATACCACAGCTTGTTTTGTATTCAGAAACCAGTTTTAATTTTTTTTCAGTAATTTGTGACTTAATGCCAACCCCTGCAGCAGAACAACAAATAGGACAAAAAAGAAATTAAGGTTACTTTCTATATTGAATGTTTTGTTAAATAGCAACTCATTATAGTTACGTGTTGACACATTTTGTCACCATTTTATTACTTAATCAAGCTAATCGAGCTTGAAATAACCAATAAACCTAAACGTAAAGAATGTGTTGTGTTAACTTTAATAGTTTTGATTCTATCCAGTTTTTTCTTTGTTTGTTTAAAACTGACACTGATGATGTTCTCATCAGCCTTCTGAGTTTGTCTTAATTGCTAATTAATAAGAGTAGATTTGTTCAAGTGATTAACAAAGTACACATTACTTCTTTATGCTATGAAGTTATTTTATGACATTTTGAACTTTTAGACTAAACTATTCTGTTAGATTACTTACATGTTGGTTTAAAAAAACAAATGGCAAACAGTCATCCTCATATCTGGTGTTMTCAAGCCAAATTRCTTTAAATATTWAAAAAAAACATATTTGCGTGAGCCTGTATTCAGTTTTTTTGCACGTCAAAACCAAATTAAAACCCAGACATTCAGATGAGCTCAAGTGAGCGCAGATTCACAGTAATACTGACACACAAACAACCTTTGTGATGCGTGCTTTCGTGTGTGTAAGAGGACGAGATCGTGCCTAAAAGGTGGGGGATGGGGAGGAATAAATATGACGATGAGGGAGAAGAAGTGGTGCCGGTGCAGTAATGGTGTGGCCCACATCAGCCAGAGCCCTGCATTATTAAATGTGCTGCAGATTGCTCTGCTCCGTGCATTCTGAACCCCAAAAGCACATCAGAGGAAAATCAGAAACGACCGAGATACAGGCTGAGGGCAAAATAATGATGAAGGATCATTGAAGGGTGCTGGTTGATCCCAGGGTTCTCCAAGGCAGAGTCAGGTTTCCAGAGGATTTATGTCTGATTCTTGCTGGGAGACAAAGAGAGAAGTTTGTTGAGATCAAACAAAAAAATAAGAGTGGAACTTTGTTTTTGTTAGGACTTGGTTCTACTTTTGTCTTATTATTTATTAATGAAATACTCTTTTTACTATGAGTTGTCAGTTAAAAAGAGCTCTGTCTTCAGTTATTTCATTGATGTCAAGTTTTCTCCGTTTTTAATAACTTTTTTTTGGTTTGATTTACTTTCTTTTTGCATTTGGGTCTGACTCATTCAATTTAATGTGACAATAAAATAAAGTATTTTTTAAACAGGAGTCTGGGGATGTATTATCACTCTGGTAAAATCTGTCAGCTGAGGCAGCTGCCTGCTGTGTTGACATCTCACCCGCTAAACACATCTGTGGACACAGTACAAAAGTGTTAAAGAGGTGTTGCTCATAACGTGAATTTCTGTGAAATCAAACAGTCTTTGTCGCAAAATGACAGAATATTAMTTAAAAACCGAGACTGAAGACAGGCTCACGTTGAGAGTAAAAAAAAAGAACAGTGATGATGAAAATGGAAAATCAGAGTGTGACAGCAGAGAAGAGGATGAATGGTTCATATATGCTAAAATAAAGAATGAGGTGAGGGATACCATTATGCTCTTATTTCCATAGTAACATAATTTGGTATTGTTGTCATTATTCCTGTTGAGATGGAACCTTTTCTGCACCAGAAATGCATTCTGTGGCTTTTTTGCATACAAAAAGGAGAGGTGAGGGAGATTCACTRTTTAGTTTCAAATGAAAATAAGCAGCTATTTGTGTTTAATAGTGTAAAAATTGCCTTCTCTCTCAGCTAAAACAAGGATAAAACAACCTTTGACCATCACTAGTTGTTTGCACCCTTGATCATTTAATTTAGTGCAAAGGTTTTTATTATCTTGCTGTTTTTTTATGCTGTTAGGGCAGCTTTCAACTGACACCAATTTACAGTTTAAACACAGGAGAAGTGAAGAGTCTTGGCTGCGAGTCAGAAAACTCTYTCCATTCTCATCTTGCTTCGTCTCAGTCGTTCAGCTGGGAGCTGCAGTGAAAGACTCATCACTGCTGAAAAAGGCTTTTTTGTTGGCCTTTTCTCTCATTCTGCTGCACAGATGGGCTGCTCACGAAGACAAAAACAATCTGACAATCATCCATGTGAATGCCAAGTTTTGTTTCTTGACCCAAATTGATTTTTCATCCACATCTACGGCGCAATGTTTCACTCCGATCCGAGCACAGCTGTTTACCGCTCCGAGGTTTCGGCTCCGTCTGCAGTGAAATCATTCATCAAACCATCACCTTAAAGATACAATTAATCATGAGGCGTCAGTGTGATTGAATCTGTGGTGCACAAACATTCCAGACTGCCATTTCTGTTTGGARGATTAGGATGCCTTATCTTATTTTAATTTATAAAAGCACCACAAACATTTCTTTGCATTCTGTCAAAATAAGACAGTTGTCTGGTTTTAGAAAATGTGAAACAAACATAATAAATGCTTCAATTTATACAAAGCAGAATTTCTCCCAGGAGAATAAATACAGTAAAACCAGCATGTACTTTCTGCCAATATTATCTTAACTGAAAGGGCCAATATTATGTGTTTCTCAGGCATACATTTAAATACTTTACATTAATAAAGTATCTATGTCACCTTTAGCTGTTATTAAAATGCTGTTTTATGTTCAAATAGAAAATAAACTGAACTTCTCATCACTTTCTCTTCTAAACGCCTTGATGTTGGCCTCTGTCTCTATAAGAACCACCTTCTGCTTCTGTCTCGCCCATTTTGGTGCCAGGGGGTGGGGGTGGGGGGGTGCTATGATGGCTGTGATGCAGTTTACTTGGCATCTGAAAATACATTTCCTCAAAAGGTATTTTGAATCTGAAAAGAGCTTCTCTGAGTGAGAAGTAGTGGAGCTCAGCAGACAGTTTAAGTTTCACTTTCACTTTCACCAAGAGCCTGCAGGAGTCATGGGCGAGGTGTGTCGGGAGGTGGGAGGGGGTGCGCTCTGCCATGAGGAAGTTTGGCTTAAAGGCACGTCCCAAAAGGCGTTTCTGGTCCCCAAAGGCGTTTTGCTCCTCAGCATGGCTGTCTAAAAACGCTGCAGGATTTCTCAGACATGCAAGAATGAGTCAGAGCAAGGCTTTGGGCATGTTTTTTATGAGAGTATAACATTATAACATGATATAAAACTCAAAAAAGCTGATTTTACATGATATTGCCCCTTCAACGAWACACCCAGACACCACAAGTGCAGAACATATACGTTCACCTCTTTATTGAAACAAACATTTTTTTAACCAATAATATGTTTACAATGAAATATTTCTGGTATCATTTGCTACATGTGGATATTCATAAACATGCTCTATTTTTATTTGACATTTGTATTTTAATATTTAGCAACGCTATTATCGAGATAATGAGACAAATGAGAACGGCTCCAGTTCCCACTGTTCGGTTCGTCCCGCAGTTCCACTTCTGCTTACCAAAACTGGCCCACTCAGCGCCTCGCATTCCAGAGGCATTTCGATGATGCATGTGTAAAACTTGTTGTAGACATAAAAAAAAAGTTGAATCATTTCCAGATTTTATTTTGTCCTTTAAGTTTTTACGCACCTCTGGATCTATGTTTATGTGCAGAGAAAGAAACAAACTGAAAATCAAGAAATAAGCCCAATTTAAGCACTTTGGAAAGCCAGAACCTTTTTTTAAGCAGGACTCTTGTAAGCACAAGTAATGGCACACACACACACACACACACGCATGCACGCACTCACGCACGCAGCACGCAGCACACACACTGCAMTTCCAGTGTCTAGGGATGCATAGGTTGCCAAGCAACTAGCTGGTGTCCTAGAAAAAAAAAGTTTTGAGTTTGTAATCTGAAGATTTGGATACGAGGTGGAAATGTTTGGGACTGATCACAGTAATTAACCACATTAAAAAGAATTAAAAATACTTGAGCTGTTTTAAAATTGAAATGTTTAAATAAACTGCATTTTGCTCCAGATTTGTTCCATTAGTTCAAATAAGTTCGGCCTTTATATTTCAACACTTATTTGACAAAATCTTCATATAAATTGTTCTAACATTACTTGCCCGGTGTGATTAGTTATCCGTTTGTCGTTTWTTTAAATAACTCTCACCAATGTCTCATCATGTTACGAATAAAGGATGTGTCATCAAATTTCTGCCTTGGAGCATCTTCAAGGTGACAAACTAATTTTGTGAACATTTTATATGAAGCAAAATCTTGACTTTCACAATATTTTAAAGAAAAACCTTCAAAGCCTTTGAATAATTTCTCATTTTTCAGTTGTAAAGTCTGTGCACTTTTGCAGGAAACTACATACTGTACATGTCACTTATGTTTCTGAACGCAGCAGAGAGAAATGTACTCATGCGTGTACTGTTGAGTTGTTCATTGTCTTGTATAAGAAAGTTGTGCAATAAAAGTTTTGCTGTAATACCACCCACACTGGTGGGTGGAGAGGTAAAAAAGAAACACGTGAGTGTCAGMTATCCATCTGGCTCGAGGTCATTTTTTTACATATTTCTCTCTGAACTGTTTGCAGTGCTACAGCTATTGACACACAAAAAACATTCATTTTGATTTAAACCAGTCTGTCTTTTATGTCTTGTCTTTGTTCGAGTCTAATGAATTTATGTAGAGCACTAAAATGATTATTTCCTTTTACAGAAATAGATGAAGATCGACTTCCAAACCAGCTGTACAAGGTAATCTTATTGATGTTTTATGAAAGCCAGTTTTGTTGAAATAAGATTTTAGGAAAATACAATCATGAGTTAGTTTTGTTTCTTTTAAAACACTGTATTTTTTCCTTGAGTTTTCTTCTAAGCTGACGCAGATTATTGATGTTTTTCAGGCAGCCTTGTTGAATTCCCCTCGACAACGACGGAAAGGCCAGAAAGGAACACCGACGATGAAAGGTGGAGGTCTTGTCATCATCGATTCAGTGCATGTGATGTTGAAGTGGTAATTCGGTTCCCACGTAGTTGGAAAAAACGAAAGCAAAATCATTTCAGTGAAAGTCTTCAGTCATCCAAGACATGATCATCCGAAACCATAGCAGTTTTTTTTATTATTATTACTATTTTACACATGAAGACATTTTGCTTTTCATTTGGGGAGCTTGTTTGATTTTCAGTTTCAAATTACCTGTTTAAAGACTGAAATGTCTTTAAATGTCAAAACAAAGACTAATTGCTGACAAATTTGTATTTTGCAAATGTTTTGAGTTTAAGAAGTCAGAAATAGTTTTTTTTTATTTTGCAGCTTAGAACTGAAGCTTTTCTCACTTTAGCTACAGATTCAGTTTGTCACCGATGTGCAAACCTAAAACAGAACAAATCATCTTATCTTMGAACCAAAACTCCTCTATATTGTGTATTCAGGTTTTGACCTGAAAAAGGGGGCTTATATGAGAAAATAGACAAACTGGTTTGTGCATTTTCATGAAAACCAGCCAAGCAACAGGCTCTACAAAAAAAAAAAAATCCTTCAGAAATGTTCCAGCACCTAATGCTTTCTATAATRCATTATATATTATATATAAGTCTTTTTAGGTCACAGAAACACAGATGCTATTTTAAGTGTACAGTTTCAAGGAATGCAAATGATTGTGATGCATAGACAGAGAATTATATTAATTTTCAATCTGAAACAAGGTGAATTTTTTAATGAATTTAATAGTTTAATAGTCAAACTGCTGYGAGGAAAATGTTTTAATTATTGAGGAAAATCGAGGCAATTATTAGTGTGCTTTTGTTTCCAAGGAGAATAAAACTGTGGTTTTAAAGATATCATTTCTTAGTGCTGGCTGGTTGCTTCTCCTCCTCCTCCTCACTTCAAACAGCAGAAGTGGTTCATTAAAAGTTACAGATTAACAGAAATTATTCTAATATTTCCTTTTTTTCTTACAATGAATTTCCACCCACAGAATATTCACCCTTAAACATTTTGTTTGTGTGCGTCTTTTTCCCTCCCTTCTAACAGTATTTGTCTCTCTGCATTCACAGAGCTGCAGTTCCTGGTGGAGCACCACCTGTACAGGCAGCAGCAGGGAGGGGGAGAYGAATGCTCCTCCGAGAGCTGCTTGTCGGACCGACCCAGTCCTGACTCCGTTCCCCCGGGAGAGGAGCTCCCACATGACGACGAGGCCACAGCAGAGGCCTTTGAGAAACTGCGCTGCCAAATGGAGGGTGAGMCTAAACAGAAGATTATTTTTTATGGGCGTGTGGCTCCTTTTAAAAGAAGTAAACTCAACGGAACATTTACTACAGCCGTAATTAAGGAAAAAAAAAGTGTTCATTGAACTTGGTGAATATAAGTCTGTTGTTTGGAGTAATTTAAACTGAACGTGAGATTGAGGGATTTTCAGCCTTGAGTTGCTACTTATAAAACAACTTTCAAACCTTTTCTCTGAAATGAAGTGGAATAAACTCATATAGCAGCAACACAGTGAAAGTCAGTATTTTCACAATTTCTTTTTAGTTTTGGTCCATTAAAGGGCACGCCTTCATTACCAGGAATGTTTTCAGTTGTTTCAGCTATTTTTTAGTTAGCCCTTAAAATGTACTCTATTTATAAAGTCTAGTGTAATTTAATGGGTTATGGCAGGCCATTTTAACATAAAATCAGCATCGTCTCACTATCTGTAAATTGATACGTTCTAAGTTTTGACAAGGAACAACATGTTGACTATCCTCAGTGGTAATAAAATACAGTATATCTGCATTAAGGTAAGGGTGGTGGCTTAGTAAAGGTAAAATGCCTTTTAAATGCCAAACTGCTACGTAAGTCTGTGATGTTTTGACTAAACAGAATTTTTTATTCAAGATATCTTGACCAATCATTCCGACTCAGAATTTCACTTCAATATATCTGAAATAGAAAAGCCGTTTAGATGAAAAAGATATTCAAAATATTTCTAATTCATTTCTTAGAAGGAATTGTGCCAAAAAAAATCAGTTATTTATATCTCTAATTTATTTTTTATTTAATTTATACTAGTCTAATCTTATATAAGTGATATCTAAAATTACATTTAAAATATCTTAAATAATAATGTCATTTCAGTTATCTTTAACTGGAATTCAAATTAACATGAACTGTCATACATGAATGCATTTTTATGCTCATCTTTATGCTTGATTCAGTGTTATTGATCATTTTTCAACAACACAGTGATAGTTTATCAAAAATACGGAGCTTTTCCTACAAAAGAACATTTTCATAGTTAAGCTGTCACCTTAGGAAGATGCTACCTGAGTTAAGTGCTTTACTCTGAAACAACTTAGCTCAGGGAAAATTACTGATTTGATGAAAAACAAGTCCAGTCCTGTATGCACAACTTTAGTAACGGCCTGAAACTCATTTGTGAACATGTTTTTCTGAGGCAGTCGTGCWGCAGAATGCAACAGTTTAAATGCTGCAGATATGTATTTGAGTGTGTAGGCRTGAGCCCTGTAAAGCTTAAAAGCTGCACTCCTAGTTTACAAGCTGACCGTGCTCCTTATGACTTGTTCACCAGTGGAGCCGTAAATGAAGTTCTCAGTTTAGATGAAAGGAGCAAAGAGGAAGCGAGGGGAAAGCCAATCAATGCCCATTAACACCAGTCCTGTCGAGTATGGATCCAATCAAAGYGCAGCCAGTTGAATTTGTTCTAAAGGGTAAACAACCTTCAGCTAGAAATATCAGGTGACATTGATTGATAAAAGGTGGATCAGTTCTGTACGCTGACATCATTTCAAAAACAAGCCCGGCTGCACTATTTTGTTTGTCGCTTCATCGGTGGCAGGTCGGCATCATCAGTCAAAGGTCACATTTATTTTTCCTTTCAAATCATTCTCTGTTTCTCTGCCACCTACAGAGTTCTCAAGGGAGAGCCTATTAGAGGCTGCTGGTGGACTTGAGTGCCCTCTTTCTGAAGATGATTGTTCCAGCGTGGCCAGCGTGACAGATCCCTCATCTCAACGAGAGAATACACAAACAGGTACACAACTGAGCCTTTAAATACTTCCTAAAACACTACTAACATGCTACTTTGCAGAAGCCAAGAGCCATGTTTTAATAATCAGTCTCACTTGTTTATATGGAAAAATCCAATGCTTAAACAGTTTGCACGGTCGTGTCCAAATAATTCTTACCTGATGTACCAGATAGGACTCCTTATTTGAAGTAGTCATTAGAAAATGGGAGACAGCTTATAAACCGGTACAYGACTGGAGACAATTTTTGTCAGTGAGCGTCATTCAAGCGTAATCTTTAAACACTAAATGCCACAAACTTGTACCAGTGTAGATGATTGTGAGAATTCAGTTGCTGCACAATTTACACTAAATTTGGAAGCAAAGTTWGCTAAACAAACTTCTAATACTCACAATATAACATGGGATGAAATTATGTGACGCTAAAAAAGACAGAAAAAAAATCTCCACAGAAAGTCTTTAAAGTCAATTAAACCTGCATGTTGGCTTCACCACTTTTACATTCCCGCAGTAATTGATGTCTCTGTATTCATTYACAGACTCCAAAGGAGGAGCAGTCAGCAAAAATCAGCCATTACAAGAGAAGACAAAGAAATGTGGCCTGGATAAAGAGAAATAAAAAAAAAGTCTGTGTGCAGCTTAATGTGGTTCAGTCGGCTCAGTACAATGACAAACGATTGTCTGCAGATTCACTTTTAAGAAACATCAGGGCGTCTATGTTCCTCTGCAGTCAGGCCTTAGCTGCCACTGTCAGAGCAAGAAACAAGATTTCTACCTTTATTTTACGAGAAACATTTTTTACAGCTTTTTTTTCCTGCACTGATGGAACGCTAGCCTACTGTATGAACCTGAGATGATATTTTTCATACTTCAGTAACACGACCATCATCATACACCTCCTTAGTGTTTAACCTTCCCTTAGATCAAACAAATATACTACTTATGGTCCTTTTAGACAATTTTTAACATTAAACATGTGCCATTGATTCAGCATTTATGGTTTAARAAATAAATCTATCTGAACATCATAAAGAACATTATTTGAATCCAAAAGCCACCGCTCAGCTTTCTTTTATTTTCTTATTTGATATCCTCAAAGTAAATAAGCCCAAGTGAAAAGTACCAAACACTTAATTAGTGATTTGGCAAATCTCACATGCATCTGCCATGAACAYAATGTTTTTATCAGACCAGATATCTGCACATGACGTAACACAGTTTGTATTATTCTTTTTTTGATTCATTGTATATATTTTTATTTTGTTCAATGTTGAGCATTTAGATAATGATTGTGTTGTATTGCTGCAAATTCTTCCGAATGCCCAACAAATCAGCGCTGTATCAGAATAGAGCACAAGAGTTGCTGCTGTTGCAAACAGGTGCTGGTYAAACGTACCTCTATCAAATCATATACCTACTTTTTTTTACCCAGTGTGCCATTTTATGTGACAGTTACTATTTTGTCACTGAGAGCTAATAGGAGCTACAGCCCCAAATGTCCTAATTACTCTGACAGTAAAACTGATCAAAGCCTGCTTGTCTTCATTTGCACCCTGGGCTAAATAATTAGTTGCCATTGTGGGCACAAAATTGGACGAAGTGTATAGAGGCTGGAACAAACAGACTTTTAATTGACTGCTTTTTTTTTTGCCAAAAAGTGTAGGTACGAAGTGACCAAAGTTGTAACGCACACTTAGGCAGCAGTATAAATTGACCTGAAGCTGCAACTATGTTCCTGAAAGAGCTTTGTGCACTTTCTGTGTAGGTAAAACGTTTTTATCGTCTTTTTCTCCTTTCGGCTGTTCCTTCTTCAGGGGTCACCACAGAGAGTCATCCTCGTCAACTCCCTTCATGTTCTCTCTTACTGCAGTCATCTCCTCTGTCTTTTTCCAGGCAGCTGCAAACATTGTTTTCTACCTTAATAAACCAAATATTTGATTATGATAAAAAAATTGTTTAAACATAAATAATGAATAAATAAGAAAAAGAAGCATATCAAAACCAATTCAAATGCCTACTCCAATTTTTCAGCCATTAAATTCAATGCATATTTACTTACTAATATTTGATTTATCATGACTGGGCTATAAGATTACTTTATTGTGTGAAACTCTATTTTCACAGCATTAACATTTAGTCAGGCTGGTAATTTTCTCATTTGTGTCATTCTAACTGAAAGGCTGCCAGCTGCACAYAAAAAGAAAAAAAAGCATGATCTCTGTCAATGACCTGTATTATTCTTACAGAAATAAGCCCGATATGCTCAAATACTGGTAGAAAGATATGTTGAGCTGCAGATAATCAGTGTTTACTTTTATATTTAGGATTTTGAATTAAGTTAGAGGCTCAGGTTGACAGGAGTTCCTAAAATAACATCTAGTTTTGTTTTAATAACATAAATCAGTCATGCCCATCCAAAAAAAGAGACTAGCATGGTGAAGTTGTTTGCACCTCATAGTAGGAGTATCTGTGGTTCAAATCTGAACTTTTTGCGTCTTTTTATGAGGGGTTTTCATGTTATCACTTTTTTGTTTTGTTTTTATAGTCCAAAACTGTGCATGTGAGGTTAATTGGTGTCTCTAAATTGGCTGTAAGTGTGGGTGTGTTCGCATGGCTTGTTATCTCTGGTGGTCTGAGTGATGAGGGCGCTGCTTCCTGCCCGGTCACTGAAACACTCTGATGCTAAACAGGATAAAGTCACTTCAAAAAGTAAATAATTCAAGCTGGACCTMATTTGACTAAAAACAAACAGTGTTTTACCATCTGAACAAGGCRGAAGTTTAATCCACTTCCTTACTGACTGCAGATGTGTGTGTTTACTGTCACACACCGACGTACCAGATGGTTAGCAGTTAAATCATTCGGTTGTGGTTGAGCGGCTGACAAGCAGAGTTCATTACAGGGAAATGTGTCTGCAGATCAATTTACATATTTTGAATTAAAACAGGAAAACTCATCTCCAGTTAGCAAATTGCACCCTCATTTCTGTCACATGAGCGCTCATTGGTAATCCAGATCTTGGCTAACATCTTGCATGGCACTGAATGTACAGTGGAAGACCYTTTTTTTTCTAAATTCAGCAGATTTAAAATGCTTTATTTCACACACAGACAACATTTACATTCTGGGCACACGTAGTATTTGCTGCATTCTTTAAAAAAACTCTAGTTTTGTATTCATTGAAGAAAATATAAAGTTRAATGTTTGTCATCATTTCATGTTGTTTCACTGTACATTATGTGACAATCGTTCCATAAATTTCACATCATGTTCCTCATGACTGAAAGAATCTGATGAACAAATGTGAACCAGAAAAACAAAAACCATTTCAGTATTGATGTCACTTGTTGAGCAGTTTGTTCCCCAGTTGCAGCAATGGTTGCTTTTATTCCATAATGAACAAGAAAGATGGTAAAACATTCCCATGAAAGCTTTTCAGTGTGTTTTTTCCCTTGCTGTGTATTWAAGAACGATGTAACATTTGTTGTTTTTGAATGGTGATAGTGTACTTTACTTCTAGAGGTTTTAGTTCTAGCTTTACTTGAACTGATAGATGATTACATCTGTAATCTAACCTTGTTTGATACAATAAAAGGTTTAAGTTGAGTTCTTATTCCTCTTGTTTGTAAATGTCACTGGCAGGTTTTATCAGTGTCYGTAGCAAAGTAAATCTGAGCTGATGTTCTTTTAAAATGTCAGAAAATGAGACGCGTCAGTAGGAAGTTGAGTTAAACTTAGCATTGCACCACTGCTCATGACTTTAGCTGAGGCAAAGTTTGACTTGGCATCAATTATTCAATACACTCAGAGCAGAAAGCATAAAAACACRTGCATTTTTTATCAAYGAGGCAAAATTTGACAAGTAAATTCTGTAAGACTACAGCATCCTAACTTCCACGTGACACTCTCRCTGATAGACCCAGCTGCTTTTCAGYCGAGTCTGTGTGAAATCACTTAGCTCTGCCGCCARTCCCTTCCCAATAAAAGCTATTCTTGAGTAAAATTAATATTTTAATCTTGWTGTTAAACTTTGTTGCGGGGAAATGGCCATGCGTTGAAAAATGCACCACRTTAGAAACATTTTGCACAAAAACATGGTGCACAATTAAAGCGTGCACTTTGTTTTAAAAATAAAGTTGTGTTTATTAGTTGATTCAAATGTAGGAAACCTTGAATTATTATTTCCCAACTAAATAAAAATGCTGAGATAATTGTTATTCAAATCAAAGAGGACAAATCCTCTATCAGCCCTGCAGGTTCACTATTTGCTCTATTGCGCCTCCTGCTGGGAGAGTAGAAAATGTTGCTAAATATTCATATTAAAATTTTTCTTTGTTTATTACAGTATATATTNAGGTTCACTATTTGCTCTATTGCGCCTCCTGCTGGGAGAGTAGAAAATGTTGTTAAATATTCATATAAAAAATTTCTTTGTTTGTATATGTATTCATCCAAATGGCTTGTAGGTTTTCTGCCTTTTTTGTTTTTATGTTTTACAAACCGATGCAAATTCATGTTAAAATTAGTCTCTCCATTATAAACGTTCACTGTTTCCCACAGTTTTGTCCTTAGAAGTGGCTGCTGGATGCACTCCATGAGTTTCCTCCTGTCCTTGGAAGTGGAYCAAAGTGATTCAGATAATTAATGAGATTTTACTAATAACATATCTTTTATATAGACAAATACAGCACAGTTGCCCCCCATTTCATGACTTGAAATGAATCACAGAAGCTTAAATAATGCATTGTTTTAGTTTAATGCAAGGTTAAATATCTGTGTGTGTTCAGATCACAATTAGACAAATGTTCCTGTTGTTGTGTTTAGGTGGCAACATAAATTAATACCATGAACTATATCATACATGACCAGCATGCACAGTTTCTATTTAAATTGCTGTTACTATGTTTAAAATAAGACATAAGGACATTTATTTTCTGATATTGCACATCTTACCTTTGAAGGATGATTTTGACCTTTAGTTCCACCTCAATTCTTCCTCCACTATCTCTTTCTCAGTAATGAAAGGATTTGTGGTTTTCTTACAAAAAGTAATTTATTGTTACCCTCGGCTGAACTTTGCGAATATTCAACGAAACAAGACGATATCACAAGAAAAAAAGTCCCAACTACTGTTTTTTATCAGCTGTGGAGTCTTGAAGGGATTTCTCTGACAGCTCTTCTTTGTTGGATCTTTGTTCTTTTGTAACACTGGCGTCAGAAAATCCTGGAGGAAGAAGAAGATTGGARAAGTTTTTGGAAAATCTGATAAGATTAGAGGAAAATAATATCTGTTAATCTCAGCATGAGATCACTCTGAAATTAATTTATATAACAAATCAAATCAATGAGATGGAGTACGTTTGTATGGCAAAGTGGCTCCTTGCCAGCCCAATCGCTGATATTTTAGTGGAGTTGTACACAGCTAGGATTTGTTGCAAAATGACTTGGAAAAATTACAATACAATTTCCTGAAGCGAAAACATCTAACATTGTGCAACTGTGCTTTAACAAATTTACGACATAGAGAAATGTGAACTGAGCCGTACCATTTGATCCAGTCTCTTTCCATTTGAGCTTGTTGTCTTCAGTGTGTCGGGTCCAAGTGGAGCGGAAGCTCACCAGTTCGGCTGTGATGTGTGCCAGACTCCACTGCAGGCCTCTGGAGCTCTCCTTCCAAAGATTACTGTCAGCAAATAACAGTCAGATCTGTTTGTTCTGCACAGAACGAGGCTCAGACGTATTGGTGGTCCTTTAGTAAAAGACCACTGAAACAGTTAACTATCATAAACACGTAAGGTATTTTTACTATTATTATTTGTAAACAATAATAAAAACTTTCAAAAGAAACAATTGGGATGTGACAAACCATAAAAGTTGCATTAACTTTGTAGAATTTTAAGGGTGTCCATTTTCAAAAATAAACTTTTTATAGACTTTGTAAAAACACTAAATTTAAGCCTTATGATTATTTTCTTTCTTTGATTTGAATAAAGTATTACAAAAGACCTTTCATTTCCCCCTGGTCTTCCTGAACATCTGGTGTTACTAAAGTTRCTCTTGTTATACTTTTTCTTTAGGAAAACATGAACATCTATCAAAAATAAATCCACTTAGATCCATCTTCTGAACTTGTTTCTTCTTCGCTTCATGATTTGGTGTTCAGGAAATAATTATTATACTCATTGGTCAAGTCCTGCTTTAATTTTGAGCTTTAAAATTAGCAAAGAATTTGATCCAAACAATTTTTTAACAAGCTGCTGGTGTTGATTCTCAGTCATCCATGACATCCTGCTTTTGTCCAAAGATGAAACTTGTTTCAACTTTCAAACATATTCATTTCTTACCAAAAACCTATATATATATTTTTTTCTTTTTGCAAAGATTCAATAGATAGAATAGATCAAGTTAAATGCAGACTTTAATGCCCAAAGAAGAGATGTGTTACTCTTTATTCATTCAGTTTTATCAGACAGAATTCATTGTTATATAATATTTTTATGTTTTTTAGTACTGTAAGTAATTTTGATAAAATATAAATATTTTAGGTACAGTTTTTCTTCTTTCTTCACCGACTTAAAAACAATGTGGAAACTGAGGAATCCTGCACTCATACTTTTTTTCTCAAACATAATTGAGCTGACTCTTTTTGTGTGTAGGTGTGTGCAGTACCTGTGTCTGTTGCAGGGGTCTGGGGGTCCTGGGTTCTCCTCCACCAAGGGAATAACAATTTTTTCTGCCATGTCCGTCAACAGCGAGAACGTAGGATACACAATGAAGTCTATGAAACCTGTGAGATAAAGCATCGTCGTGTCACTGAGAGAGCTGTCTCCTATGCAGATTCTTTGAAAAAATGAAAAGCTACAATGAATTATTTATTACTTCACTGAACTGCAAAAAAAAAAAAAAGGTTCCCACAAATCTGACAGCCTTGTTGAGTTTGGAATGAAGACGAAAGAATAAAATATTTCCTGCTTCAGTGATTATTTTAGAAGATGAGAAAAAAAGAACTTGGTGTATTTTGAGACATACCAATCTGGGACTCGGCTACTAGGGTGCTTTTTCGATCGCACAGCGGAGAGAAGGGAAGGCCGAGCTCTGCCTCTCTATCGCCCTCACAAAGATAGAAAGACAAAGAAAAACAATACAATGGCATCCCACACATCATCTGAAAATAACTTGTGAAGGTCGTTTTGGTGGAATATTTCCACATCTTGTTTTCGTAGAAACAGTCCAACGTCTCTTCGCTTTTAAGTCCACTCAGAGAAAATAAGAGTGGGAACAGCACGATCCTCTCATCTCAGTCCAGTTGGCATCACAACTTTGATCGTTTGACATTTTTCTGACAAAAAAATGTGTATTTCGTCCGTAGTTATCCTTCAGCTCAGACATTTGCAGCATTATAATTAATTAAAAATGTCTAACTGTGTATTTAATAATTTCTCACATCAGTTTTGCTTTAAGCATGTTCTTAAACAACTGGGTTTGTAAATTGTCATTAATCTCTTAAGACGCCAAAAAAAGGCCTTTTAGTATTGAAGCATCAATGTTCAGCAGGTGAGAAGTGATATTTTACACCAAAAACGGCTGCTTTAATGCGTGTGCTGACAGCTTTTGCAAGCAGTTTCCAAAATCAGATTTTATTTGATCAAAGTTCAATCGAAATATCCTTGACGTTAAACTTCACTTCTCCTCTGATGGTGTTTTCCAGATAAGAATTAAACTACTGCACACACTTTGTCAGGCTATAAAATAACCAACTCTTCAAAYAAACCCTTTCTGTGGAGTTGTTTGTGAGGTTCACTGTACCTCAKAAATAATAAACCCTTTTAAAGATCCCCAGCATATCTTTTTTTTTTTCACTCTTCAGCTATTTCACTGCGCTTTTTGAGTTGTGAGGACTCATCACTCACGCTGAGGTATATACAGCATGGCACTACAAAAGGTTACACAAGCTGGGGGAAAGAAAAAAAAGGATACCATTTTGAATTTGTGTTACTTTCTTTGTGTAACTCAAAAGACAAGAGATCAAGACAAAGCTTCACGAGGCTGACACTGAGCTCCACGTTTCACCTGATGTGAAACATTAAAGTGGTCTTTGGAGAGGGGGAAGACACAAATCAAAAATAAGAGATATTTAGGTGAACTCTTATTTTGCAGATCCTAGCAAAAGATTCAAAGCGTGTGTGTCTGTTGACTCAGCACCACAAACAGGAGGGCAGTTAAGAGATGATAAAAAAACTGGATGAGCATTCATAAAACCTTAATAAGTTACATGGGATTTGCAGAAGTGGGCAGACATTAAGTGAAGCTGTTTCCCCTCTATGGGATGTGAAATGCTTCAACTCTGTGCTACGCAGGCATGAGGGTGCAAAAATGTTATTTCTTTTCTTTTTTTTCTTTAGCAGAAACAGTATTTCCAAATCCTTGAACCAAACTTTGATCCAAGACAAGCAACTATGAGTTGCACCATTCTGAAAACGTCCTGCTGCAAATCCAATTACAGCTGAAATCTAATTGTGACTCAAACTAGAACGAGGAAATAAACATAAAATAAATAAATATAGGAGAGGGGAAAAGTCACAGTGATGGTTCAGGTCAGTTCAGATCCCTACCTGCCTGAAAAACTCTTCCATTAAGGATTTGGTCCAGCGAGAGTGCAGCGCCCAGGGTTTGGATGGATGGCTAATGTCAGCCGTGTGCAGTAACAGAGACAGCGCTTTGGGCTTATCAATCCTGATGGAGAGAGAGAGAGAGAGAGAGCACAACACACATCTTTTTTATTTGTGTTGTTGGGCCTCCAGGGAAAAGCACACCCTTGCAGCAGTCACACTGTTTATTCCTGTAGGAATATCAGCCTCGAATATTTCGTTTTTGCATCTGTGTGGAGAGCAACAGTCAGTTACCGTTCCTGTTGTTTCAGACAGGATTTCATGGCTTTGACCTGGAGTAGGTGGGAGGACATGTCAGTGGCCAACACCATCTCTATAACAAGTGATCGCAGCTCCCTGTGAACACACACACGCACACACAGACTCACAGTTTATCAGCTGACCTTGAGTGATGAGAGGGAACTTTGTAAAATGAAACTCTCAGGCAGGAGGAGCCAATGAGGTTGTAACCTTTCCTCATTTTCCTGATGGGTTTTCCTGTTCCCATGGTACCGCTGACTGTTAAAAAGGGTCCATTAAGGTATGTGTTTGACTGTGGTGGTATCTGCAGAGCACCGCAGTGAATAACACAGCCCCGTACTGTGATCAGTGATTTATGAAGGAAACTATTCCATTAATACAGAAACTGTTTGTAGTAAATACTCTCCCAATGCAGGCTCCAACTGCTTTCAAGTTAGAACCATAGACTTAAATATAAAGATCACTAGAGTGAGCCCCGCCCATACCAAACACTGGTAACGTCTGWGACAGCATGGAGGAGCAAAAATGGTGTCTAAAAGGGCAACGGCTCACAGCCTCCATAGAAACTAATAGATAAACAGCAGCTGAACCGGATCTGTTTCACAGATTATCKGTCACGTTTTCACAATAAATTAATGACTATGTTAATTTCATTCAACAATCATGTAAAACAGCAGATTTATACCAGAAAATTTATAAGTAACAATGATCTAAACCAGACCTGAAGTCAGCCTGTAACTTAGACTTTAGCTAGTTGAAAAATGATGACTTCAGCTAGTAATAAAGTATATTTATTATCAGGGTTGCACATAAAATTTTTGGTCTTGTTCTCAGGGGAGAACCTAGGCAGGGCTCTAGACTAACTTTTTGCACTGGTTGCACCGGTGCGCCTAACATTTTTTCTTAGGCGCACCAGCACAAAAG